GTGTTCCTGCCTTCAATGCCAGAGCACGCTGCGAATGTGTTGCGTCGCCACAACAAGACTACGCTCGACATTTTCACAGCCTACGTGCGCAGTTTCGTCGACCAACATGTTCAGGAGCCGGACAACACGCTCCCATTGACAGATGTCACCGTTGGTGCCGAAGCCTCTCCGAAGTCAGAGAGCCAGAACGTGAAGGCACGCTCCACTTTTGTTGCTCTTTCGGGATACGATGACAAGTTCGAGTCCATCCACGATCTGTGCAGCACTAGCCGTTCCGGCGTCTTCCTTGAAGAGGCTGTCGTACCTCACGTTGGCCTCTACCCTGAAGATTCCGATCTTCCGCTGAACGCTTACCTTTATGACTTCTTCATGCACGGTGACGTCAACGCTCTGATCACGGCCAACAAGATTCGTCGTGGAGATGTATGGTTCGTACTGAACGACCTCAGTATGACGCTCGCCACCATTACTACAAGTTTGTCGAACTTCTTGGGTCTTGCAACAGAGTCCGATCTCGACTTCATCGACGTCCGAGGTGGTGGTGACGACGAGGAAGAGAACCGGGAAGACAAAATGCTACCGAGCGACACTGCGACAGAGGCCAGTTCAGCCACCACTGCTTCTACCAGTAAAGTCCCACCCAAGCAGGAACTGGCGTTCCAACCCAAGAAGAAGGCCAAGAAGAAGGTCGAAGAATCATGGGAGGATGAGATGGGTAGCTCTTCCAGTGAATCAGAAGTTGAGGAGAGCTGGGATGCCGAGGACGATGATGAGAAGAAGGAACCGCCCGCTTGGGAGGAAGGCGAGGGCTTGTTGAATGTGCTGAAGGCGTTCAAGGCTCTGAAAGAAGACTTTGACACCAAGTTCAAGGCTATGTGGGCTTAAATGCATCAGAGTGTAAGCCTGTATTACAGTGTCAATATTATAGACATTACAGCCCTTAACGAAGTAGATGTTGAATCAAAGAACTCCCATTATCGTATAGCTTCCTCAAGTCATGAGTTCATACCATAACGCTCAACCCACTTGCATCATGACTGCGATGGCGCAAACTTGACTAAGTTCCTCAGTAAATCTGTGCCTGTCTTCTCACAAGCTAATAGCAAGCTGTCTATCCCCGGAATGCGTTCCAGCTCATCTTGCGTCTGCGGTCTTACTCTTATGATCAGGTCTAACGTGTGGTCTGTTATGATGGGTGGAGCCGTTGTGGATCGAGCGGGCAATTTTCGCGTTACCAGTTTACTGAAGGCTAGAAGCTTTGACCGAGCGATGCGCGATGCAGGTGATAGCGGTGGGTTTTGTGCTGGGTCTGGCGCTGAGGCTGAAGAAGGGCCTTTGCTCACGACGTCGAGGGCATGGCTCAGGGACGGTTGCTGCGTAAACTTTGCTTTCGATTTAGAAGGTGTCGTTGTATCTAGTAGTCCTTCTTCCAATACCTTGCCAGCTAGTATGGTGCGAGGCGTGGTTATCGTCGAATTCTGTAACGGTTCTCCCGCAGGCTGAGCGACTTTTTCTGCGTCGGTCTTCACCGGACTCTCAGCGCGTTTGCGCTTGGTGCCGGCGCTTGTTCGCCGACGGCTGGGACTGCCAAAGTCTAGTGATGGGAGGGTATCGTCAGAGTCGTAAGGGGATGTACTGCCATGAGATTCATTGCCATGACCCACACCAAGTTTTGTCTCTGCCATAGTAAAAGATAGGCCGGTGTTTAGATGAAGTGTCCGTGGGGGCGCTGTTTCGAAAGCGGGAGACGAGTCTCCAGAGCTATCATCTGCAACCTTGCGTTGCATCTTTGGGCGGCGAGGTGTATGCGGCAACTGGATTTCTGGTTCGGATGGCTTCACAGTGCCAGCTGGTTGCTCGATGCCGTTCGTGGCAAGAAAAAGTGAGATAACCTCGAGCCACTCGTTACCGTACTTTGTTTGCTGGATCTTTCCAATACCTTTTACAGCAAGCAAGCCCTCAGTATCGCAAGGCTGTGCGCGCGCGATGGCTTCTAGCAGAGTGTCGGATATGACGCGAGAAGGCTGTATCTTCCCAGTCTCTGCAAGGGATGCTCGCCGAACAGCTAATTCTTCGAACAATGCTTGTGAAATATGATCCAACGTTGACCCACTAGTCTTCGCAGGTGCAGTCTTCTTCGGTACTTTAGAGCTTGTTCTTGTCGTTCCACTCTTTGCAGGTTTGACACCAAAGAAGGCTTCTGTAGTGATGGTCGTACCGTCTCCGACGTCCAACAGTATCGGATCATCTCTCGATGCCTTGCCGCTTGGGTACTTCTCGGCGTGAATCGGTAATGGTGGGGTAGGCCTCATGGCAAGTCTCTTCGCATTCATACATTTGTAAAGCATGAAGCCCGCGTACGCATCTCCAGCCGCGTAGTTGATCTGATCTTTTGACAGGGGCTTGCTCCAGTTGCTTGTCCTCACGTCGCCCTTGTAAAGGGGCAAACCGAGCTGCTCCTCCACCTGATGTGCCAAACTCACCAGTTTGACTGAAACCAACTCCGGCTTTGCAGGGCCGAATTTCACGAGGCGATAGAGATGGCTGGATTCGACGGCACCTTTGGGCTTGAGCCCGAAGAAGCGACTCAATCTCGAAAAGTCCGCCTTCAGCACATTGACACCTACTTTGCCAATCTTGGGATCCTCAAGAATGCGTTTCAGTGTCGGCGCGATTATGTCTTCGCTCGTCTTTCCTGGATGAAGCCCGATGTGAAACAACGCGATCTTGTCTTCAGAAGCGAGTTGGATCAGTCCAATCTTGTTCTGCAAATCGTCTCTTTTCCAATCATTCCATGGCCACTCCATGTCAAAACCAATGACAGGCTCCTCCAGGAATTGCTTTGCATATATCTCGGATTGCGCCTTATTCTTGCTATACAGAACTTCGACTTCCTTGCCTTCGGGGCCTCGATAGAGCCGATGACTCCACCATTGTTTTGGTGCGGCTTGAGTAGATGAGAAACCATAGGACTGGAGTGACGAGGCTTTGGGCTTCTGTGGTTGTATGCAGTACGCGAGTGGCCAATGTGGTTTCGGTGGTTTGGCGGGGTCTTTTGAAGCCACGACGGCGTGGCTGGAACTTGCCATTGATGTTATGCCCTTCCAATGAAGATATCGTCCAGGCCCAAGTCGCCGGCGAATAATGATGGATGGCATAGGAGATACCTAGGAGGTATCCCTGATCGCGCGACATGTACGCAACGTGGCGATCGGCGCTAAGAGAAGCACAGACTGTCTTCAGCGCGCGCTCACGTGTGGCGCCCCTAGCGTGTTTTGCCAGACGCTCTTGCCCAGCAGTCCATGGCTACTCCCGGTTGGTCCCATCAATGCTACGTCAGACTTTTGTCTGGAACAGTTGTCGGAATCTGAAAGACGCCTATACTCGTCTCTTTGCTCCAGTTTCGGAGGTTGACACCTTGGCGAAACCCTGACAGGTCTGCAGACGTTCCCCACTGCGTCATTACGGCGGGGATGCAGACCTCGGGACCGTTAAACGTTGCGAAATCCGCTACTTCAAACGGCTCTCACGACCTCCAGTCTCGATTTCGACCCCAGATATCTGTGCATCATCTTTTCATAAGTAGGCGCTCTGTTCGGGGGCGCTTCGGAGACCCGGGCAGCGAGATATTGCCTGGACTCTGTCACGTAGCTGAATGAGGAAGGACTGACCACACAGCAGACATTTTCTTCAGCATTATCAATGCCTCCTACGTACGGCCTCTTGCGACACATGAGCGAATTGTCGAAAGGTATGATCCTGGATTTGCTTTAGGCATTGTGGGCGTGACGATTGCCAAGATGTGACAGCTAGGTCTTCACGCAGATGCGGTTTCATAGTCATATGGAACACTCTACGTAAGCACGTCACCTACTATCGGCGCTAGATGCACTGCGACAGACTATGCCACGGCTTCAGCGAATATTCCTTGGGGCCGCGTACTTCGATAATGACGGTATATGTAGGCTGGTAGCCTCATTTCGGGCCGCCTCCAAAAAACCACTTTTATTCCATCCTGTGTACAAAGTTCTCCACGTATTTGTTTATAAACGTATTTTCTTTATGATGCATTTCATACCTTCAGTATTGGTCGCTGGATTAGTGGGTCTTGCGCAGGCGCAAGTACCCTCAGGTTTTACGCCTCAGGCTACCACCAAGCTTGAAGTCATCTTCAATTCTACTATGGTCAACACGGCCGGGCAGCAATTAGCGAAAGCTTGTAAGTTCTTGAATATCTCGAAATAGAATGAAGGTCTGACTTGTCTAGCTGCTGCGACACAACCACAACTTGCATTATCCAGCGCCATGATAGATGCAAGCCAAACATACATGTTTGTGATGCTCGACCTCGATGTACCACCAGCGGACGGCGGCACAGAACGCCGTACACTACTACACTGCATGAATACCGGATTCAAAGCAACGAAGCAACAACTCATGGGCGCGGCCACACTTCTCGCATCATCGGAAAAGGGCCCTGCCCCATACATCCCTCCAGGCCCTCCAGCGACCGACACAGTCGCGCATCGATACGTCGAACTGCTCTTCCCGCAACCTGCTAGTCTGAACATCCAGGCATCAGCATTCGCTGGCGTACAAGATAGGATAGGCTTTGACATCCAATCGTTCATGTCGCAGAACGGTGTGAGTGCGCCGCTCGCGGCAAACTTCTTTCGTGTTGACGGAAGGATAAGCGCAACGGCTAGCGGAACTGGATCAGCAACGGTAGCGTCGGGCGCTGTTGCTACGCCTACGGGAACACCACAGGCCTTCACCGGTGCAGCTGGCGAGATCAGCGTACCGTATGGAACGGTTGGTTTGCTTAGCGGTGTAGCTCTTTTCGCGGTGCTCGTATTGTAGTTTACTATGTATCTTGGACGAATGTTACGATGTTATGAACTGGATCTAGAAGCCGAAATCATGTCTAAATGTAGAATTTGTGATAAAAAATGTATGACAGCCACGCATACAGTTATGCTTCGAGTTCTATATGCAGTGCTCTAGGTCATCGCCTTGTCGGCATCCACGATACTGTAGTACCTGCTACTGCTTTTAACGCGCATGCCCTTGCCGTACTTGATCATTACGAGAAATACTGCCGATGCAGCCATGCCAACGAAGGCTGCAGATATGAAACAGTTCTGGTAGCCCAAGTCTGTCAGCCACGGGGTAATGCTACGTTTCGTTAGCAAGTCATTCTGTAAAAGCTCCAAAGAACTCACCCGTAGCTGATTGCAAACGACATGGTGTTGCGAATCAATATAACCGTCACGATCGCATCGCCACTTATGTCGTGGTAGCTGTCGATCATGTAGTTTACGCTGATGGTGACGCCGACTGATGAAGTAAAAGCGACACAACCCATTGCAAAGACGAGTCCAAACCAGTGTACGCCATGGGCAGCACCAACACCCCAGAGTATCAAGAATGCCGGGACCATCACCAAACATACTGCAAATGGCCATAATCGATGTTCAGCCTCCATGACGCCGTTGTTTCGGCGCGCCAATTTGATGGTCAACCAGTCGCTGAATCGTCCTGAGAAGAGTGCTCCAGCAATGACGCCAATGCAGCAAGAGACGTAACTTAGACCGACCATGGAAGGCTTGAAGTTGTACCCTGGGCCGCCGAGGATGATCGAAGCAGTGGCGTTCAAGACGTTGAACCAAATGAGGTAAGAGCCGTAGCTGAACCCTGCGTAAAAGATGACGGGCCAGCTCAAGTACATGAGACTACGTTTTGCGCGCTCGAAGACGTTTGATCCCGGGGACGGTTGCCAGATTGATAGCTTTTGCGTGAAGGTCTTTGTTGATACTCGCATATCATCGCTCGCAGTGGATTGCGAAGTCGTCGTGTCGGCCTTCTCTTGATCCACGACCTTGGATGGGTCTCTCTGCGGAGACTCGGCTGTGACGGCGACTCCCTCAATCTTTCTTGTATAGTTGGTCTCCTCCATGAATAGGAACATGATGATTAGCGAAACGGTCAGGAAGATTGCCGGCCAGTAAAAGACCCACTGCCACCCTTGCCCTTCCGCAATGAAGCCGGAGATGATGGGAGCAAAGTAGTTGCTACCGGCCAATGAGAACGCATAGAACCCCATGTATTTCCCACGCTGATGGGTGAAGTAAACATCGGTCACGGAGATTTCGGGTAGAGCTTCCACTGGTGCGACGAAGAAGCCCATGACGATACATCGAGCTATCCACTCGCCGTTGCTTTTGACGTATGCACTTTGAAGGTCAGTATGGAATTATGTCATGGTAGATCTATCCGCACTCACCTCCAGATACTGCATCCAATGGCACCGACGACTGATATGAGGAAAGTAAGACGTTTGCCGTATCGCAGCGCGAAAGGTTGCCAGAAGAGAAGACCCCAACCGAGGAACAGAAACATGTATCCAGTGCCCTCGTTCAGCGTTGACACAGATACGCCTGAGGCTTCCGATAGTGGTACTAAGACGGAATACACTGTCGACACGGCGATACCAGTCATCCAGGTGTATCTTCACGGCTCATTAGTCTCATATGTGGTGCGCGATAGTTGCACGTACAGGTTGGTACATATCGTCGAGGTGAGCTTGCGGCGCGGAGACCAATTTAGCGGATCATCAGGATCACTCGATGGCGCTGGGTTGAGGATAATGTCCCCATTACCTGCATGTCGAGCTTGAATGCTATGATCCAAATCCACCAGATGCACAGTGCCTGGCACAGGGGCCGTGTCAGCGGAGTCTGCGCCAACGGTCATCGTGATAATCGACTGACAACTAGGTAGATGTAGGCCTCAACTACTGAGGCAGTTATGTTTTGAATGCTGAGCTTCTGGAACTGGTTGTACCAAAAGTAGACAACAAGAGTGGGGTGGTATGCAGGTGGAACCCCAAGAACATGGGTAACCTGCGTCATTCCAGTTTGGAGCTCGTCGTGGAGCCTGCATGTTCGTTATCACATTCCCTCGTCTCCAAATCCTTGCCCTCAGGGTATATGATAGCAAGCCATGGAGATAGCCACCCAAATGTCTTTGCTGGGCTGCCCATCTCCGTGTGTATCTACCGGCTTACGCAACTTAGCAGGTCCATGCGAAGAGACCAAGAGTCGAGATACCAGACACAAAGCGGGGAAACGTTCGCCTGATAGGCAGTAGAGGCGCTGCGTTTATTGGAAGATAACCGGAAAGTTGGAGTTGTTGGAGCTGGATATGGAAAGGAGTTGCTCGCTAGCTGATGCGGGACAATGTGGGATGACGCGCTAAGGGCCGTTCGTCGGCATCTATTCCGCTCCTCAACACCAACCACCCGCTTTATCGGCTTTATCGCAACACGATAATCAGCCGTCATATACCAGCACGGAACTTTTCCGGGAACCACGTTTACATACGGGATGTCTCTCAGCGCCACGAATGCCAGGGTATCTTGTCCTGGGCCTAGCCTCGACAATGACGATACATGTAGAGATAAGACCGCGTTGCTGGTTTACATGATTGACAACCTCGGAACGCTTGAGCACACCGGCTACTCACATCCTCTAACCACCTACACTAAACCAGAATGGCCAATCACCCTTCCGAGCTCGCTATAGTTCAGCCCAAGCCTGTGCCTCAAGGTACAGCAGATTACGAGAAGAAGCGAGCCTCAATCCTTGAAGCATTCGCGCAAAAAGTGCCTCCGGAACTACGTTTGTCGCCAGAACTATTCGCCAGTCCGCCCAAAGATGTCTCGGGAATACCAGTCACCTGTGGTATACTCACATCCGCTGAGATCGACATCACGGAAAAGTACGATGCAGTAGGCCTTGCTGAAGCCATTGCTGCACGTAAGCTATCAGCGGTCGAAGTAGCCACTGCGTTTTCGAAACGCGCTATCGTTGCACATCAATTGACATGCTGCTTGACCCAATGGTTCATGGACGAGGCTGTCAAAAGGGCGCAAGAGCTGGACGATTACATGTTAAAGAACGGCAAGACGATTGGCCCGCTCCACGGTGTTCCCATCAGCATCAAAGAGCACATGCCCATCGCTGGAACCTATTCATCACAAGGATCGTTAGCGAGCGTTGTCTTCAATGAGGAGGATTGCCTGCTGGTGTCGATGTTGAGAAGTATGGGTGCGATATTCTACTGCAAAACCAATCAGCCTCAAACGATCATGCACTTGGAGTCGACATCTCACTATGGCCGCACGCTGAACCCTTTCAACATCAGGCTCAGTGCTGGTGGCTCATCTGGTGGCGAAGCTGCCCTAGTGGCCATGAAGGGATCAGTACTTGGCGTAGGCACAGATATCGGCGGCAGTATAAGAGGCCCTGCCGCATTTTGCGGTGTCTATGGATACAAGTCAACTTCATACATGCTACCGATGAAGGACTTCCTCGCGCATTCATTCTCGGCAGAGCTCAACGTCCTGTGTAGCACTGGTCCATTCTGTCGGAGCTTACGCGACATGGATCTTTTCATGACGACCGTGCTGGACCAGAAACCGTACTTGCTGGATCCCAAGGTGGTTCCACTTCCTTGGAAAGGCTTCAATACCAAAAGCAAGAAGCCTTTGAGGGTTGGTATCATCGAGAACGACGGGTTCATTGACCCTCAGCCACCAGTCAAGCGCGCTATAGCATGGGCTCGTGAGCGTCTCTCGGATGCTCAGTACTCGGAGGTCATCCAGGTGAAGCCGTTCACGTCTTACAAGGCACAAGAAGCTTGGAAGCTGATCCGCCGCATGTACTGGCCAGGCGGTGGCAAACTAGCAAAGGAAGATGTCATGTCGACAGGCGAGCCAGTGCTACCCCTGAGCGACTGGAATTGGAAAGATGTCGAGCCTCTCGGTATGCTCCATGCTGAAGAGGTTAATGAGCTTCGTGCTACCCGCGACAAATACCGGTATGAATTTGCCGACAGCTGGAATGAACAGGAAGTCGACATCGTCATTGGGCCTGCGTTTGTCGGCCCGGCCTCTGCGCATGACACTGCCTTTTATTGGACATATACGAGTCTGTATAACTTTGTTGACTACCCTGGGGTGGTTGTACCCACACCGATCAAAGCAGAGGGCAAGGAAGAATATGCCGCAGGGTACAAGCCATTGAGCGACGAGTGCAGGCACACTAAAGAGCTGTGGGAGAGCTCAGACTTCGAAGGAGCGCCGATCAACTTGCAAGTGAATGCAAGAAGGTATCACGATAATGACTTGTTTGGGGCGTTGAAAGTCTTGAAGGATGTTTTGGATCTGCCGTAGTAATAGGCCTGGAACTCTGAACATAGCGCGCTCCTGTACAACACACACACATATACTGCCAGTCTCATGGATATCCCAGTGACGGCTTTTATTTGTCCTAATGGAAAGCGCACCGAACAAGCCAAAAGCGCTATATTGATAGCAAAAGTGACGACATCAAACGCGCTTGATGGAAGCTGTCACCTTATACAAGGGAAAAACCAAACACCTAAGAGCCTACGTTGTTGTTAGGCTACTAACTTCGCAAGCTTTTATCTTAATGTAGGCTCTTAGGTGTTTGGTTTTTCCCTTGAATGGGGTGCTGTGATGCAGGAACAACCGAGGTGGCCGCAAGCGGATGGAAGCGTGCAGGGATATTGCGCGGAAGGTGCGCTGCTCACACGTCAACACCACCACTCACGGGCGCAACCCACTTTCCCACCCAGACAAATCGCCCTTCTCACGATGTCGCATTCATAACACGCATCTGCGCTCTCGCCGCGCATCATGGATTACACACATATCGCAGAGCTCAGTCCAGAGCTGGCCGCGATCGAATCGAAGCAGTTCCGAGCGACCGTCACGTTAATATGGCCCTACTCGTCGTCGACGCGACAATTTGCCCTGCTGCTCGCTGAGCCCGACCTCCGGCTACGGCGCAAGAACGGACAAGTCAGAGCGCGCTTCTCTGGCGCCAGCGCGAAGGCCATTGCGACAGCAGGCGTGGGCATTGGCGATGAGGTGGTCCTGAGCCTACGAGGCGCCGACTTTGTCAAGGAAGGCGCCGTCAGCACACCAGGCAAGAATATTGAGTGGGAGCTATCATATAAACAGACAGTAGTGATTCGCGTCTATCGAAATGGTAGCGAAACAGCAAATCTCGAACTCGTCGATGCCGCGCCCACGCCCGCGCCCGGATCGCCTGTCCGCCCAGCAGCCCCGACGCCTGCGCGCGAATTCTCCTCCCCTGCTTTCTTCAAGCGGGCGCGATTGTCTGACGGACCCTCCTTTCCAGCACCCTACGATCCCTTGGCGGACGAGACGGAAGACGGCCATGACCGAAAGCGACCCAGGAAGTCATACGGGGACTGGAAGGCGTGGACATACAGCGCGAGAACACCATCGCCGGAGAAAGAGGATGTGAACATGGAAGAAGAACTCGGGTCTCTTGAAGCGTCGCCTAGTCGTGCAGGGCAACTTCCACGCACCCCCGTTTCGCCTCAACGACCGACCGTACCTTTGCACGTCCAAGAAGACGAACAGACAGAGCCCAATACACCAACGGACGAGGGCGCAGAGGTCATTGGCGAGTCTTCTACGGGGCCACCAAAGGACGCCGATTCCCACGATCTCTACACTGGGCCCGACGAACACCCACCATCGGATGCACAATATGCTTTTGGAGGCGATACCGAGATTGACACTGAAGTTAATACCGAGGAAGAAGGCAACACGCGCGACGAGCTTAATGCTACCAGCGCTAGCACCACCGAGGCGGATGTCGAAGAACAAGAAGACAGACCACTTGAGCGCGTCCAAGAACCAGTGGCTGACATAGAGGCAGTCACAGGAAAGGATAAGATGATTTCGACTCATGAAGCAAGCTCCTCAGAAGTCGTAGAATCACATGAGGAAACCGAACCTGTGCCCGCCGCTGGGGCTGACAACCACACCAACAACGAGCTTACAATTGCTATGCCTCCTCCCGCCTTCCCAGCAGTCGCCGCAGGCTTGTTGACGCCGATCGGTCGAGAGCCTGCAAGTCCAACGCTTGCGCCACAAGACGCCTCCAATCTTCCATTACCGTCACCGTTTCCAGGCGAGCATGATGCTGATGCTGCGTCTTACTTCGGCATTGCTACTACTATCGAACAGCCGGTCGAAGCCGATGCTACGGGAGACAAGGAAGAAGATCCACCAAGTGAAGCGAGCTACATCGGCGAGACGTCCTTCTTCAGCTCAATAGGCTCATCGAGAGCTTCGGTGTTCCACCCGAACCACGAGTCGGCCTTCACACCTGTACGATTCACATTCGGCATGGACGGTGCTGGCTATTCTCGCCCCATGGAGCTATCGTCGCCTCCGCCAGAAGCTCAACCAGTCGAGGAGAAAGCTGAGAACATCGACGTTTCAACCTCATCCGCCCCTCACGAACACGACGATGGCGATTCGGAAGCAGAAGACATATCTCAGTCACGCCTGAGCACTGCCCAGAGCGATGATACAGATGAAGCCGTTGAAGATTTGACTACTGCAAATCCAGAGATGGTTGAAGACGAATCGGCCGAGCCAGAAGTCGTAGAACTCTCCTCGGAGGACGAAGAAGAAGCCTTGAGTGAGATCGAACCGGAATCCATGGCAGTCGAATCTGTGATGCAGCCCAACACTGCTCAACCGCCTGAAGAAGACTCCAATGTCTCGGATGACGTGCAATCTGTGACCGGAAGCCTAGAAGACACCCGTGGCCAAGCACTGGATACAGGCACACAACATTCCACAGCTACGTCAGCTATCGTCGACTTAGGCTCCCCTTCAGATGATAACAGCGAGATCGACACCAGACATGAAGAGCAGCAGCCTAGCTCTAGCCGAAGACAGTCTCCTTCTCAGGACCAGCCCTCTGCCATGGATCTTGGTAATCATAGTGAGTTTGTAAACCTGGATTTTGCGACCGCGGACGCACATGCTCTTGATATATCAGAGGAGCGAACAATTACTCACACTAAATCCCAGGGACTGGAGCCTGACGTTGTACCACACCCTACGGAGGAACCGTTTTCACCTGTCGGTGATCTGCCAGAATCGAGTTTGGAGGCTACTGACGACTACTTGCAAGACGCATTTCCGATGGAACACGCATCATTCGGGCAGGAACATGAGCAGATAGCTGCCTTTGAAGATGACCGTCAATCTGATGTCCACATGGAAACAATAGAAGAGGCCGCCGTATTCCAGGCAGACGATATCAATGACCAATTAGCGCCTGTCGATACCACCCAGACAGCTAATGAGCCTGTGAGCCAACATTCTGACATCGGACCTGAGGATGCCCACAAGATCGAAAGCACGAGTGTTGTGCTTGAGCCGCCTGCAAAAAATACCAGGTCAAAAGCAAAGGCACCAGCGCCCCTGGAGAAAGAAGATGCTGCTGTCCCTGAAGCCAACAAACGATCCACAAGATCTGTGACTTCTCGTGCCCGTTCAGCCGTTTCACCACCCTCCACACAGACTTCTCCTTATAGTCTTCGTTCACAGTCGAGATTCTCGCCAATGGAAAGCTTGTCAACCGGTGCTAGCATCGCTCGTCAGAGAGGCTCGCGCAGACATGCTTCGCAAAGAAGTGTAGACTCTATACCCGATATTGAAGTATCCCAAACTCAGGAGTATGACCGAATCGTTTCCAGCTTCCAGCCGTCGCAGGAGTTGGGTGCCTCGCAAGGCAGATATTCTGATGTCGCTTTCATCAAAGACTCTGAAGAAGAGAGCCCACGCTCTGAGTATTCGATATCTACTGTGCATCCCTCAGACATGGAGTATATGCATCACAGCGACCCTGTCGACCGTGCCAATGCTTTTGATGATGAGAATGATGAAGGCTTGAAACCGCCGCCAGCAACTGCGCCAGAGTTAGGGCCTTCAAAGCAGAAGGTCAGAGGGAAGAAGAACGCGCAGCAAAGCGTGGAGATGAGGAGTAGTAGTCCTGCTCAACCCGAATCTCCGCACGTTACACAGCCATTGGTCAGCAGCCCAGGTACGCAACGACATGTAGCGCAATCAAAGGACACGATAACTCCCAGCCCACGTAACGTACGAAGAACGAGGAGAAAAGTATACGATCTTCCAGGCGGAGGTAGCCAAGACGTCGGTGATATTGACGCGCTCATGCGCAGCTCACCACCCGTTTCACCTAGAATCGACCAACGGACGAGACAACAGAGCAAAAGGCCTATCACCCCTGCTGCAAGCCAGCAGACTGCCATGGAGTCGCAGCCCAGCATCAACGCCCAACATGAACAAAACACCCTTTTGACGCCTCAGCTTACGCAAACAACATCTGCAGGTCTGCGCTCCGTCCAAGCCGAGGCCGAAGTCGACATGGAAGTCTTGACCGCATCACCAGAGCCCAAAACAACACCGCGCCGCAAACACAGATCGGTCGACGCAGCAACTATCCCCGCATCTCCAACCTTGATTGACCCATCGTCCGACGACGCCAACGCTGAGACGCCCGAGCCACCCTCTGTCGGCCTTTCCACTCCGCTAGCTTATTATACTCCTCTAAAGGACCTCGTCTACTTCCTCAACCGCTCCTCCGACTTCCACTCGGCTACCAAACCCGACATACTTGCCCTGGTCACCTCTCCAACCACTCCAAGCGAGAAAGCCAAGAAGGGACCAAAACACTGGTTCACCAGTCTGCAGATAACGGATGCTAGCTCCTGGCCCGAGACGATAACGGTACAGATCTTCCGCGCTTATCAGAATGCACTTCCAGAGGCGCAGGTTGGCGATGTGGTCTTACTCCGCGCGTTCGCTGTCAAGTCGTTGAACCGGCATCCCATGCTTATAAGCACAGACGAGAGTGCGTGGTGTGTATGGCGCTGGGGTAAACCTGTCTGGGGAGCGAAGAGAGGTGCGTTTGGTGAATTGAGAGCAAGAGAGGAGATCAAAGGACCGGCTGTTGAGAAGGGTGCTGGGGAATGGCGCGAAGTGGAGAAGTTGAGGGGTTGGTTCACCGCGAAGATAGGCACTGAACTGGCGGAGAAAGAGGTGGCGAGGGTTCGGACGAGGAGTAAAGACAAGGGAAAAGAGCCGGCAGGTGAAGATGCATGAGGGTTTGGGGCTTTTGCGCGGCGTTGAGGAACGTCTCGAGTGTGGCATGGTTATGTTATCGGCGCATGTATAGGATACACTGAGTGTATTACGTTCATGCTCTGGTGGACCACGTTAGCATGAACAGCACTGCATCACTTTGCGAGTCAACAAAGTATTGAGAGATCATTCATGTGTCTCATTGGTTTCTACCATATTCCTTTTCATGCGATCGTATCTTCATAGCCCACACCTAAACCCTGAAGTCTAGAGCCAGCTTTTCGCCCAGAGCGTCTATGACTACTAGGCCAGTCCGTGGACCAGCTGTCCGTCGCAGAAGCTCGTAGCTACTAATCTCGCACCATTCTCTCGTAGTCTAACTGTATGAGGCGTCTATTTCTCGTAAACCCAGTCGTGCTGGGCGGACTTCCAGCTCTGGACCTCACCCTCCTTGAACCAGAGAGCGATCTCCTTCTTGCCGTTCTCGACGCTGTCGGAGCCGTGGCAGACGTTGCGGCCAACGTCAAGGGCGAAGTCACCACGGATGGTGCCGGGGGCGGAGGCGAGGGGGTTGGTGGCACCGAGGATGGAGCGGCCGGTCTTGACGGCGTCACGGCCCTCCCAGACCATGGCGCAGACGGGGCCGGAGCCCATGTCTAGAGGGTGTCAGTGGTGGAACTGGGTATATCTCGTTCGAAATGGCCAACGTACAGGCAATTAGACCGGGGAAGAAGGGCTTGTCGCTCAAGTCGGCGTAGTGCTTCTCGAGGTGCTCCTTGGAGGGAGTGACGAGCTTGATGGCGGCGAGCTTGAAGCCGCGGTTCTCGAAGCGGGTGATGATGGGACCTATGAGGCCACGCTGTTGGGCATTCGTTAGTATATGTGCTTTTTATCTTTTGTTGAGAACCCCGCTGTCCCAGTTGTAACAGCAGAATCATTGTAACAATTGATTCACTGTTGGCAGCTTGAAGAGTACAAAGTTCGAGAACTGAGAGAGAAACATACCTGAACACCGTCAGGCTTGATAGCGATGAAGCTATTCAGCTGTCAGTATACCGTTCACCGCCCTTCAGCTGCCCCTCGTCTTGGGACCAGAGTGCCAAACGTACGTCTGCTCGGTAGTCATTTTGGCGATGAATTGACGTTTGAGATTTTGTGTAAAAGTGATGTGTCTTTACGACTTGATGAGAGGAAACGAGAAGGAGAGACGGACGTGTAGCTGGAATTTTATGAAGGGGGTGGGGTATCGACGCCCTCGTTGTTGTCTAGTGGGGTAGCTTGCATAAAATTATGCCTGATTTGTGCAAGAGAGCTGGACCCTGACCTTGGCGCTGCTTCAAAGTCCACATGGCATCTCGAGCGTCGAGGACTGGCCAGTTGATTGATTGACTGGTGATATTCCAGGCTGGCTTCTGTGTATTAGAGAGCTGCCTGTCATGATTACTTTACGGAAGCAGCCTCCCCGGTGGACGGCTGTGTTTTTGGTGTTGGCGCTGTTGGCTTGCCTGTTCGTGCCAGCTGGTATGTAGCTAAGCTCACCCCCGATATCGAAAGTCCACGACTGCATTCTTTCTGTGTACATGCGAAGTTACAAGGAGGTTACTAATGGATATTAGTATCGGTCAAGCATGAGAACTTCAAAACATGCAGTCAATCGGGCTTCTGCAAGCGCAACCGCCAGTTCGCCGATGACGTCTCCGCTTCGAGCTCCTGGACCTCGCCCTACGTCCTCGACCCTGCCTCGATCACGTTCACGAATGGCCAATTAGATGCTGTGGTACTCAAGACACTGAAGGAAGGCGAAGAGAAAGCTCGCTTGCCGCTTACTGTTACATTCCTCGAATCGGGCGTAGCACGCGTTACTCTTGACGAAGAGAAGAGGGCCAAGGGCGACATCCAACTGCGACACGACAGTCAAGCGCGGAAGGAGCGATACAACGAGGCGGCGCAATGGACTCTCGTTGGAGGGCTAGACCCGTCCAAGGGCGCCGCTTTCAACCCCGAGACGGAAGATGGCTACACCAAGGTTGTCTACGGCAAGGGCAGCAAGCACCAAGCCGTCATCCGCCACGCGCCCTTCGGTATCGAATTCCAACGCGATGGCGAGACGCAAGTCAAGTTCAATGAGCGCGGCTACATGAACGTCGAACACTGGCGACCCAAGGTCGAGAAGCCCCAAGAGGAGAAGAAGGAGGGCGAGGAAGAAGTCAAGGAGGAAGAGAAGAAGACCGAAGAGCCTGTAGAGGACGAAAGCACATGGTGGGACGAGAGCTTTGGTGGCAACACGGACAGCAAGCCGAGAGGCCCTGAGGCTGTTGCGCTAGACATCACGTTCCCTGGATACGCGCACGTCTTTGGTATCCCAGAGCACGCGACCAGGCTATCTCTCAAGACCACCAGGTGCGCAGTATCCACGCAAATACATCTACTTAGCTGACAATCTCTAGGGGCGGCGACAATGCCTACACCGAGCCGTACCGACTGTACAACGCCGATGTCTTCGAGTACGAGATGGACAGCCCCATGACCCTCTACGGCGCCATCCCATTCATGCAAGCCCATCGCAAGGGTTCCACCGTCGGTGTCTTTTGGCTCAACGGTGCCGAGACCTGGATCGACGTGACAAAGAAGAGGAACACTGCGAACCCGCTCGCTCTTGGTGTTGAGGGCCATACCGATACTGAGACGCACTGGATGTCGGAGAGTGGTCTGCTGGACGTCTTTGTCTTCCTCGGACCGACTCCTCAGGACCTCACTCGCCAGTATGGTGAGCTGACTGGTTACACGGCTATGCCCCAGTCCTTCGCTATCGCCTACCACCAGTGCCGATGGAACTACGTCACCGATGAAGATGTCAAGGATGTCGACCGCAGGTTTGACAAGTTCAACATTCCTTACGACGTTATCTGGCTTGACATTGAATACACACAGGAGAAGAAGTACTTCACCTGGGATCCTCTGACCTTCGCCAACCCCGAAGGCATGCAGCAGCAGCTCGACAAGCGTGATAGGAAGCTTGTTGCGATCATCGACCCTCATATCAAGAATACAAACGATTACCCGATCATCGACGAGCTGAGGAAGAAGGACCTCGCTGTCAAGAACAAGGAAGGCAAGCAGTACGAGGGCTGGTGCTGGCCTGGCTCATCCATGTGGATCGACTGCTTCAACCCGGCTGCCATCGACTGGTGGAAGGGCTTGTTCAACTACGACAAGTTCAAGGGCACTGCCCACAACACCTTCATTTGGAACGACATGAACGAGCCCTCGGTGTTCAACGGCCCTGAGACAACCATGCCCAAGGACAACTTGCACCACGGTAACTGGGAGCACCGCGATGTTCACAACATCAACGGTATGACTTTCCACAACGCGACATACCAAGCCATCACGGAGCGCAAGAAAGGCGAGGTTCGCCGTCCCTTCGTGCTAACCCGAGCTTTCTACTCTGGCAGTCAGCGCACTGCTGCCATGTGGACTGGCGATAACCAGGCTGAGTGGAGTCATCTTGAGGCTTCCATACCCATGGTCCTCAACCAGGGTATCTCTGGCTTCCCCTTCGGTGGTGCCGATGTTGGAGGTTTCTTCGGTAACCCAAGCAAGGAACTCTTGACTCGCTGGTACCAGGCTGGTATCTATTACCCGTTCTTCCGTGGCCACGCTCATATCGACACTCGTCGCCGCGAGCCATACGTTGCTGGCTCTCCGTACACGGAGATCATCACTCAGGCCCTTCGTCTGCGTTACCAGCTCCTACCTGCCTGGTACACTGCCTTCCATGAGGCTCACACCACCGGTGCCCCTATCGTCCGACCCAACTTCTGGGTCCACCCTGCCGACGAGCGTGGTTTCGAAGTCGACGACCAACTCTACATTGGTTCGACTGGTCTTCTCGCCAAGCCAGTCACAAAGGAGGGTGCTGACAGTGTTTCCATCTACATCGCGGACGACCAGCCCTACTACGACTACTTTGACTTCACCACTTACAGCGGCGCTGGGCACCACACTGTACCAGCTCCTCTCGAAAAGATTCCTCTTCTCATGCAGGGTGGCCACGTCATCCCACGCCGCGACCGTCCTCGTCGTTCCTCCGGCCTCATGAAGTACGACCCCTTCACTCTGGTCATCGCACTCGACAAAGACGGTAACGCTGCCGGTACTCTGTACGTTGACGACGGCGAGACCTTCGACTACGAGATGGGTGCCTCCATCCACCGCCGCTTCTCCTTTGACGGCGCTCGCCAGATCCTCACTTCCTCCAATCTCGACTCTAACAAACGCACCGTCAAGTGCGAGAAGTACCTCAAGACCATGGAGAAGGTACGCGTCGAGAAGATCATCATTGTCGGCGCTCCCAAGGCGTGGAAGGACAAGTCTGAGGTCGTCGTCATGCAGGAAGGTGAGAAGGAGACGCAGAGGAAGAAGCCTGTGCCGCTTGAGTTCCATGCTGCCGAGGGTAAGAAGGCTGCGTATGCGGTGGTGAGGGACCCGCGGGTGTTTATTACCAAAGGGTGGAAGATCGACTTCGCTGAGAAGGGTGCTGGACATGAGCATCATGGTCATGAACATTGAGCTCTGGGGTGTCTAGATGTATGAGAAGCGCGCATTGCAACAGGGAAAGGATCATGGAATCTGAGATGAAACGCAATCTGTATAGAATTAAGATTACGAATACGTGTTACTCGCGCCTATGAAGACATGCATATTGGCGTGTATAGCCCTACCGTTCTTTTCCTCACTGCTCGGACGCTTTCGTGACAAGGCAAATATCATGGCTTCTTGCTCGGACCGGTATGTTCTCCACAGACGAAACGTGCAACCTCATTCGATGTCCCTTCCAATCTCGATCTCGCATACAAAATTCATGGTATCAGTCGCTAGCACCCCGCTGCGTCCCTCTTCATCTATTAGTTTTTTAGGACAGATATTAAGATGTATCAAAACTGCCTTGATTGCTGCGCAGCTAGAGCATAGTAAGAGAAATGCGTACTATCAAGATGTTGGCAAGATCTGTTTAAAAA